TGAAGCACACTTAACTCTTCCTCGCTCATTCGGTAGATGCAACCGCGCGGAGGTACAGCCCCGTCCTCGAGGATGATCTCGTGGCGGATGGGTCGATCCGGTACTACCCCGTGCGGGCCTTCGAACACGTCGCTGTAGGCGTCGAGAAGTTCGGTGATGTGTGAATCCGAAGGTGAGTCCGTCGATGAAGCGTCCTGGGGCGGGAGGGCGTGGAGAAAACACACCCCCATCTCCTCGATGTCGTCTCTGATGATGGAAGCTCACATGCTTGCGGCGGATACCACGTGGCAGCCGATCGAAGGATGAGGAAGAGGCACCGTGCATGGAACTAGTACTCTGTTCCGATCACGAATGTGAACGGTGCGGTGGAAGAAGTTCACCGGGCGATCCTCGTTTCGCAGCCATGACATGCCCAAGATCATGTCAAATTTGGTGTCCAGAATGTCAAAGGACACCGCCTCACTTGCGTGAGGGGCAAAGTACACTGGGACGGCGTCAATGCACCGGTCGATGGACTTGTGCGTATGATCGTCTGCCAGAGTGACTTGCGTGGGCTGGGACTTCCTCTGGACACGTGGGCCAAGGCCGGCGCGTACCATGAAGTCCAGGCTGATGTAATTGCGAGACGCTCCGCAATCGATCAAGGCACTGCAGGTCGCCTCTCCAATCTGAATGCGTACGTATAGCAATGGTGCGTCGATGTCGTCGTACCGTTGCGTCTTGAACTCGCGGTCGATCTTCGCGATGTAAGCGTGAAGGTCGACAACCTCTGCTCCGGCGTCCATCAACGGAGTTGGTACTGCAGTGTGCAAGTAGTCCTGCAATTGTGCCATAAGCACGGTGCAATGCGGTTTCGGCAATCGTCCGGTCGAGGGAACGGGCATCGAGTGGAAGTCCGTGAACGTCAATGGGTCGAGCTCTTCAAGTCTTGACCATGACGTCGAATCCCCGGCGATAGATTGTGGCGAAGCTGCCGAATCGGTTGCCGATGGTGATGAAACCGTGCATGCGGTGGAATGTTGCGCGTGGAGCGGTTGGTCCAGCGGTGGAACCAAGTGGATAGCATAATCCTCGTAAGTATACCGAGGACTTGCGACATTCGCATCCTCCCCAGATGTGCAAGAGGCCGCTAGCAAGGCGGCCGAATCTGGCGGAGTAGAAGGTGGAGTCGCCTCACCTTCCGTGGAGCTCAGTTTCCCGAGCTGAAGCGGGGTCGCACATCCTCCTTGCCCTGATCTTGGCACAGGGAGGTCTTGTGCTTGGTGCTGTTGCACCAATAGCAGTTGCCGTAGCGGCCGCGGACCCTGTACTCCGCCTCGGTCAAGCCAAACTTGACCCATGGAAACTGTCTTGGCTGTCCATTTCCGGCCTGCGATGCGGATTTCGCCTTCCCATTGTTGCGGGACTTGTTGGTGCTTCGCGGCTGGACAGCAGCCACCTGATCTCCGTCACTTGATGCTGGAGTGGCTGCTGGGTTATCTCCACTGTCCTGTTGGACTGCAGCGAAGTGCTGCTGTCGCGGACCAATTCGTACCTTCTCCACATAGGTCGGCTGCCATGATGTTGATTTCTCGTGTGCAGCTGACCTGTTGGTCTTGATGATCTCCCTCGCTTTGTCAATGATCTCCGCGAAGGCTGAGTACTGCTCGCGATCACCAAGAGCCTGGCTCAATGCAGCACAGGACCTGTTGTAGAACTCACGGCGTAGATGCTCGAATGGTAAGTTCAGATTGGGCACAACCGCAATCTTCTGCCACTCCGTGAGCCAGTCCCGTGTTGCTGTGTTGCCCTGTGACATGGTGAACAGTCGGTTGATGGCGAGTGCCGGCGCGTCGTCGACGATGAACCGCTTCTTCCACAGTCGTGTCAGTTCCTCCTATGTGATTACGTCCTTCAAGTCTGGTACGTCGACGCCGTGGGAGGTTGCCAGGTGGCTCAACCAGGTCTGGCATCCGCCCTTTGAGTTCAGGAACAGGGCGCCGATGTACGCATGCTTGGCTACGGGCAGAATCCTGAGTTGCGTTGTGAATACTTCCCACCAGAGGACCGGATCCTGCTGCGTGTAGTCGTCGAACCTCTCCAGATTGAAGGTTGGCATCTTATACATCTTCGGATTGCCATCCCCGTTCGTCGTCTGCA